CCTCCTAATCAATATCCCTCTCACCCTCTAGGTTTTGCACTGGAGCCGTCACACCCTCTTAGTTTTGTTCCAGATTCTCAGTGACCACCAGGCTTCACACTAGATCCTTTATATCCCCGAGCTTCACTCCCATCCACGTTAAAACTCATCCTTTAGCCCCATATGAAAATCATCATAACGTCTACTTCACTAATCAACAACATCATATGAGACCCTCTTACCCATTGAACTATCCACCTGCACTAGGAGCAAGGTCAGGAGAACATGGTACTGAGGACTTACCCCCAGATCTAAACGAACTAGCCAAGAAAGAGAATGCAAATAGAAAACTCACCCAATAACTCAAAAATCTGGAAAAAAAAAGGTGAAGTCAGTTGAGGTGATTAAACCATTATATGAGATCAACGCTAGAAAATTGAGTCTAGTCCCTAACCTCATCTTCTCGCCAAAGTTTAAGATGCCAAACTTTTAGAAGTACGATGGAACCACTTACCGCTCTTCGCATATTACAATATTCTGCAGAAGAATGTCTGGTTATGTGGAGAATGAGAATTTGTTAATTCACTGTTTCCAGAATAGCCTGACGAGATTTGCGACTAAGTGGTACAATTAGTTGACCAGGATGCATATAAAGTCATGGAGAGATTTAGTAAAACCTTTCTTGGAACAATATCGCCATATCACCGACCTAGTACTAGACCGGTGGACTCTCTAGAACATGGAAAAGAAGAACAATGAGACATTCAGGCAATATCCCCAAAGATGGCGTGATGTGGCCGCCCAGGTTCAACCTTCACTATTGGAGAAAAAAGTCATTGTCATCTTTGTGAACACCGTAAGGGCTCCATATATACCTGGGAAATTTGCTTGGAAACGCTACCAAGAACTTTGCATACTTAGTTATTTCTAGTGAACTGATCGAGAATGCCGTAAAAAGTGGCAGGATAGAAGGAGGGGACGGGTCAAGCTCGAAGAGACCTATGTATAAAAAGAAGGAAAATAAAAGTGAACACCACGAACACCTACAACAAGAACATCACGATTACGTAGCATAGAGCGGAGAAGATGGATACTTACTCCAATAAAAATAAGTCTAGAGGCCCTAGGAGGGAAACTGAAAAGACTACTTTCACAACTGTGCCAGTGCCATACTCTGAGATATACGCCTCATTGCCTCATTACTAAAGGCGGATGTGGTGCGACTATATAAGTTAACTCCACCTCAACCTCCGTATCCCCGTTGGTACGATGGCATTGCTCACTATGACTACCATGCCGGGATTACCTGACATTCTATTGAAAATTACATAGCCTTCAAAACGGTGGTGCAGAATTTGATTAACACAAGGGATCTAGAATTCAAGTCACCTGCTAGGTACCCGTTGCCGAACCATGGAGGCAAAGGGGTAAATATGGTCCATGAGGCAGAAGAGAAGAGGATAAAGAAAGATGTTTACGAAATTAAGTCCCCACTGAGTTGGGTATTCAGACAGTTAAGTAAGATCGATCTAATCAAAGGCAACCACGAACCCAAACCTATTGATTATGGACTGTACTGGAGATATCATCTAGAGGAAGATCATGAGATTCAATTACGCTATGAGTTCAGGTAGTTGCTTCAAAGAATGATGACCAATAGAAAGATAGAATTCCTCGACTAGAGTGAAGACAAAAAGGGAATAGACGTGTGCATGTCATAGAACTCCAATGCGGCATATGGAGAACAAAAAAATTCTCGTTTTCAAAAATTTAAAAATGAAAATAATTTTCTAAAAATAAAAACATAAAATGAGAACATCAATTATTTTCTAGAACCAAATGGATCTTACCATTTTTAAGTATATTTACTTGATTTTTAAGTATTTACTACTTTTTAAAATTTAAAATTATTTATTATCATTTTACTTTTAAATTAATTTAGATTTGAGTTAATTTGGACTTACATTAATTTATATAATAAATTTAAATTATTTTTTTTATTTTTCTTTATGAAATTACAAGTGTATAAGAAAGTAAATCATTATCGAGCATTAAAAAACTTAACTAAGTTATTGGTTAATAAACTTAAAATACAGTACTAAAAAATTAAGTAATGAATTCAAAGTATCAAACTTATAACAATTGTAAAAATGTTTATACAATGACCCGAGCTCCATTGTATATATAGCATAAATTAAAATGTAAATCAAAATAATAGTAGATTTATAAATCAAATTTATATAAGTAGAATGTGTTTTGAAGTAATCAAATATTATAATATGAACGGAGATGTTATAATTCCTTCAATGACGATGCTCCTCAATATGAACCATTATCTATAAACTTATGAACAAAAACATTTGATTTGAATTTTATAAGTTTAGTGACACGCTCTTATTCTATTATAGTCCGCACAATTCATAAACATAAATATGCAAGACTATATAATTTTATTAAAAAAAGATGAGTCTACATATATATCATTGTCGACAGAAATAACATGCTTATCCATATTTATTTATGATCTACGCATCAATTTTATTATTCGCAATCTAATTCTTACCTCTAGACTTTGAATCAGGATTACATAATTTTCAACGTGTACATGATATCATCTAACATCAGATAATTGATAACAATGATAAATAATCATGACACCTGATGTCACAAAATAATATGATAAACAATAAAAATTGCACTCAACGCCACTAAGTAATCAAGTATCATTGACTAGGTAGTACTCGATCTCATGTCGTAATCATGTATTACTCCATTAACATAAGCATAAGAAAAACATTTAGGATTTAAATTTTGTTATATACTTTTAAGTTTTGATTTTTTTTCAAAAGATTTTATTATTTTATTAATATGAGATTCAAAAAAAAGAATCACGAAATTTTAATATTTTATTGTTTTCTTTTAGAAATAATCTTAATATATATATTCTTCTTTGAAACTAACTTCAAATCATTACTTTTTGTGTATGAATTGTAAATTATGATCTTTTAAATTTGTATGTATTTCCTATGTGATTTTTTTTAAAAATAAATTAAAAAAATTAAAAAAGATAAGAACCGGGTACTCGTGACCCAAAAATGCGGGTACCCGACTAACGGATACACAAACTTAACAGGTAAAGTCACGGGCCGACAAATATATTACTCGGTATTTTCAATACCAAAAATACGCGTATCCGATTTTAAACACCCTAATATCAACAACTTTCCATTAATTTTAATCAATATATTCAGATTATCTATCTTCTTATGCGGTTCCACGCAAACATTGATGCTCATAAGCCTCACAAGTCATTATACAATTTGTTATCAGTCATATCTTATTCGTTTTATAGCAGTAGTGAATTCAAAATAAAATTCATAGGTAATAAAATTTTTATCTAAAAATATTCATATATATATATATATATATATATTGATCACCTACCATTATAATAACGATGTTAACATGACATTTTTTTTAATTATTTTTCAATCATGACATGACATTATCTTATAACGATATATCAATATTACTGTTATTTTTTTTAAGAATAGAGACCAAACATAACCAAAATGTAACATTAGGCGTGAATTAAAATAAATATTAGTTGAGTGACCAAAACATAAACTAAATAATAAATGGACAACATAATAAATAATTTACCTTTCTTGGGCATAGGGGCATGGCCTAAGTAGGCTTAGGCCTAGATACTTCCCTGGTTTATAGTGTAATATGCTTGAGGGTATAATTGTCTTTACAATCTTATTAACTTTAATAAGGCTTATCAAGTAATTATGAAATTATCATTTTATACAGTTAGATTCGTGATATTTAAACTCGAGACTTCAAAGAATAATAACAATTTCTTAATTACTGAATTCATTTGGTTGTATGCTTAAATAACATTAAATGTACTAAGGTGTTGCCAATAATCATTCTTAGGATATCAATACTTTTAGGCAATATCAATAACAAATTGATTTACTAGAATCTTACCTTTAATCTCATTATCAAAATCAAATATTTGATATCGATATTAATAAATGAATATTGATACCTTAAGAATAAATATTAATATTGATTTCATACTTTACTCATGTTTCTATTATGATTTCCTATGGTATCGATGCAGTACGAATAATATCAATATTAAAACCCATCATTATCATTTCAAGTAATCACATCTATTGCCCATCTAAACAATTGATTTAAGACCTTGCTCAATTACTAAGGCTTCTGTGAGTAGCGTAGAATCATATAACCTTATTTTTACACATATTTAACACATTCATTAATTTGATTAATTCACATGTTTAACAATAACTAAACATGCATCATACCAACAAATAAAACACTTAAATCACTAAACATGCATCATACCAACAAATAAAACATCAAATTATGGAGTTCAAGAAGCATTTTAAGGTTCAAAGTGTATCACCTTAGTTCAAGACACACAAAAATTCCTTGCTCAACTCCTACCAATCTTTTCCTTGCATTTTCCTCTTCAAACAAACCCAAAATGAAATGCAAATTCTAAAAAGAATCTAGAATCATGAAAATGCCAATGATAAGATATAGAATAACCCTAATGGATGAAATCCATCTACACCACTGATAGCTTCACACATCTTCAATGGAAGATGATGAATTTATCATTGAGCTTTAGGAATGGAGGTTAATAATCTTATCATCTTTAACCCGAAATAATGATTTAAATCACAAAAATGGATTTTTTGCAAGCTTGAAAGCCTGTGGTTTCTACAGTGAAGAAATGGAGGACGATGAGCTAAATAGTATAATTACCCTTTTGATCATTACTCATTTGATCACAAATCTCCTTTTTCAGATCCAATTAAGCTATATTCTCTCCCTATTAGGCCCATACTTGGTCTAACAAATTTAATTATACTTCCGATATGATCCAAAAACATCTTCGATAAACTCTCATACACTGAAGCAGACGAGCCACACGATGAAGGATTCAACTAGATAAGTACACTATCCCAGCAATCATTATTTTATAGTAGTACTGCGTCGGCACTGCAACTTTGGTCTGTTGATTGGTCGACACCCATCGATGGATAATTCAAAGCAAAATCATCTGATAAACCCCCCATTATATTTGGAACAGGTTCAAACTCAAACCATGCATCATATTCGACATCGCTTGAACCCATCATTCCCTGCAACTCATCTGTATCTGCCATCGTTGTTTTTTCCTCGGCCAACGTCGAGGTAGGGAAAACAAACATGTCGGTAACTAGACCATGCCACGCTTTGTGTACGTCAAGGCACCTGTGTCCCGTGAGTCGATTCGAGGAGGAGCGGGTGTGTTGGGTTATTGGATATCGTTTCGAGCTTGACTCACGGACCATCGGGGCTTCAGCCTCGAGACGAGCAATATCCCATTGAGCCATGTGGCTTAGATTCGAACCGTTTTTGTCTCGACCACACTAGGCATCTGTACGAGTTCGGTGAGTCATGGGATTAATGCCCATTCTGATTAGCCTTTTCTTGAGATGTGTGTTCCAATGGTTCTTGATCTCATTGTCCGTTCTCTTTGGCAAGTGTGCCGCCATAGCTGACCACCTACATGAATTAAAGTTCACATATAAATCATTAAGTTAAACAGCAGAATAGTGATCATTTAGCTACCTGTTTCCAAGAAGGGTATGGAGTTGAATTATAGTTTGTTCTTCCTGTAAACTAAACTTTCTTCCTTTGATATCTGGGCTTAAGTAGTTAATCCATCTCAATCGACAGCTCTTCCCCCATCGTTGAAGTCCTATATATAAAGGGATAAAATCTAATTAAAACTTTTTTTTATTTTACTTAGACTTAAACTATTAAATAAGTAAAAATAGACCGATAAAATTAATGATAGAAGATATTGACTAGAAAAAAGAATCAAGAAATTAATCTTAGTAGTATGTTTTCAGACACGGATAAAATGAGAACAGACCAGCTTTCTGAGGCAAGGAGCTCCAGCAACCGATGTAGGCGTCAGTACTTTGTCTTCTTCCTCGTCCCATGCTCCTCTCTTCAATACCACCTCTTTCTTGCCGCCGCATTTTTTCCCGGAGAAAAAAGAAACAACCAAGTAGTTGTTATGGCTAGAACTACCCGATGAATACTAGGTCCACGTGAAAATTGCTTCCAACAAAATTTGAAAAGAGATTTATTTATTAAAAAAACATAATACATTATATAAATTTTATAAACCAATATTAGCATAGGGTTAACAATAACACTTAACACAAACCTGGTCCTCAATCGAAATGTTAGAAATAAATTGTAATTAGTTGTTAGTTTGTTAATATGTTTTGAGTTGTTATTGGGTTGTTATATTTGGGCTATAAAATACTGAAGTTTGGTTTTGTAATTGATATAAGTGATAGTGACAATAAAAATACTTTTAGTTCTTTCATTTCACTTTCTTATTTCCTGAACCTAAATCTAAACACCCATAACCGACATTCTCCAACTCATGCCTCCGACCTTTCATCACTCTCAATCTCAATGGATGCCTTCTCACATGGTATCATTCGCCAAAGATCCTAACGACATCTTTCTTCTGCTGTTTCCGTTATGTTCTTTGATCGGGTTCCTCATTCACTTCAAAGTTTCCTCTGTCGCTTTCTTCTCAGTCGACGATCGATGCTTCCTTCATCGCAAGCTCACATGCACTACCGGTTACGCAGTCTGGCCACTGACCGCTCTCCATTTCTTGCATTTTATACATCTACATTTACTGCTATTTTTTCACTTGCGAGCTTTATATGCGACGTTGAGAGATCTAATATCTCGAGTTTGTTGTTTCATCGGCCATCGTTTACCTTTGATGGCGTGTATTTATGTTCGATTTTAGTCCTTATTGATCGAAACTATTTTTCTGTTTGCTGAACCAGATCAGAGTCTCGCTCACTGTTATGGCTTCCATTATCATCGTTTGATGTGTTTTATTACTGTGGCGATTTCTCACTTTGTTCGTTTGTGAAATCACATTTGATGAATATGTGATTCATTGTTTTTTGATCCATTCGTAGTTGCAAACAAAAAGAAAAAGAAAAGGGGAAATAACTACTAGTTCTAATGGTGACTTATGATTCTGTGACGTATGGTACAAGGTTGAATTCAAACAAGTGTTTACTTAATGTTCACGCATATGTGATTGGTTATAAAAGGTTAGGTAGAAGGTTATGCAGGTTGACTTGTGAATATTGTTATCTTGTGAATGAGCGAGGTCAAGTGTGATTTTTACTGCTGGTATGATCTATGATACTGGTATTGATTCATTGTTCTTCATATTTGGATTTTGAACATCTGAGTTCCAAGTTGGGTTATCGCTGGTAGATGTTGGTAATTGTTCATCACAACTGTTAGTGTTTACTGTTGGTATGTGATGCTTCTCATATTAATGTTGAATGTTGTATGTTGCATTTTTTATTTGGTTCTAAGTCGGTGTTGTTGTTGAATTATGGGTACTTCTACTACAAATTTGGGTTGCTCAGTTAATCTCAGCTTGCGTTTCTTTGTTATTTCTTTGCTTCTCTCACAAGGTGAACATGAGACTTTGAGGCTTAACAGCCAAGTTTTCATGGAAAGAAAATTTATCTGGGGAGAGTAAGAGTTTAACAGCCTTGCCTACCTTAACCATACAAAAAAGGGTATTTTAGATAAGTGCTTTATTTAGTTAATATTTTGGTTTTAAATTGCTCCTTAATAATTGCTTTTTATGGCTTATTTGTTTGTTTTGATTCATTTTATGTGCATGGCACCGGATTCTGGAAATTACACTAAAAGGAAATAATTATGCAGTTTTTCTATTTACGAAATCAAAGTTAGATTAGTGGGCATGACTTTGGACATGAAGCATCTGACATGGCGATGATGTCAACACCTTCTAGAAGGTCCAGTTAGCGCTTCTAGAAGAACGAATGGATTAGTCGCACGTTTCTGCAATTCGGATTTGAATTAAACACAAGTTTTAGGATATTATTTTAAATATTAAATTTTATCTTATCTTTATTTTAGGTATTTTAGTTTAAATAGTTTTAAGTATTTTAGTTAGGGCTTTTTTTCTTTATTTTAGGATTATCTTTACCTTGTTTTTAGGATTTTGAAGGCTATAAATACCCTCTCAGGGTAAGCCTAGAAACATATCTCTCGACAACTGAGAATTTACTCTTTTTCTTCTCTCTAGCTTTATAAAATTCTCTCTTCTATTTTCTTTCAAGTTTTTCGTATATTTCATTTTTATTTTAAGTTTCGTTTTTAAATATGCTAAGTATGACTTTGGTCATGCTTAGCTAATTTTCTTTAAAGCTGAAGGGTAAAGTGATGACTCAATTCCAGACGTGAGAATTGTAAGGCACTTAAATCACTTCAGATTTTTCTCTCTATTTTATGGGCTTATTTTCAAATCAAAATGATTTTCAAAACCAAAAGTCGGCGTTGGTCTGGATGTTGTTATGGTTAACGTGGGAGGAAACATCGACTTATTAAAGCACATTCGACTTCTTGTGAACACACTTAGCAAAATTGTTTACTAAGAGGAAACTGAGATCGGAATAAGTTATTGTTGAAACAACATAATCCGAGTCGGAAACATTTCGAACTTCAATGTTTTAAGATCTACAACATTGTTGTTGCTTAGATCAACTCACAAACCGAAATTAAAGAGTGCACTTGGATATTCAGTATAGAAAGCATAGTCGCAAGGATTTGTCCTTGTAGGCAAGTAGCCGACGTGAATCTTGAAGTAAAGATCTATTTCGATGATACTAGGAATTTGAGGCAAAGCTGAAGCCTGAGATTGTTTTTACCATAAGTATTCTTTATCTAAATTTATTTATTTTATACTTAATTTTTATCTCATTTTATTTCTTTAAACAGTTTAAAAGCTCCCCCTTTTTATCTTTATCATTATCTTATAATTATTATTTATTATTTTACTATTTTATCCTTATTTTTCATTTTAAATTTATTTATTTATTTATTTTATTATAATATTTTTATCTTTATCTGGAATTCTATCTTCATCTAAATCAAAAAAGTCTAATAAATCAGAAACACTAGAGTCCCTGTGGATCGACCCTGCTTCTCTATTCTACTCTCACTTTTTACTTATTAAGAAACCGAAATTATTTTGAAAGCAAAATGAAAGTTATCAAATTGGTGTCATTTCCGGGGACTAACGTCAAGTACTGATTTATTTTTCTTTGTTTTTGATTTATGACCAGAAGAAACCTGGGCAAATTAGTAGATCTTAACCCGGAGATCGAAGCACGAGCACAAAGAATCCATACACAAACACTTCGAGAAAAAGGAAAAAAGACTAGAAGAACAAGAACATAGTTCAGAAATAGAATCAAATGTGGAGATAAACTCTGAAACATACGCATATAACAAAGATCAAATCCTGAGGGTAGAAGAATAAGAACAAATGATCTGAGAGGTAGCCGTAGCTCCTATCACTCAGACGCCATTATGCATCACTTTTCCTAAGGCGGGACTCAATTTTAGTTAAAGACGAGACTTATTCATCTTCTTCCCACTTTCCACGGCCTTCCTACTAAAGATCCGCACAAACACTTGTTGGAGTTCCACGTAGTTTGCACTAGCATGAAACCACAGTGAGTTATAGAAGATCAAATTAAATTAAGGGCTTTCCCTTTCTCTTTAGCCGACTTGGCTAAATATTGGTTATTTTATTTACCTCCATATTCATGGGTTGACATGAGTCAAATATTTCTTCACAGGTTCTTCCCACCGGCTAAAGTAAGTGAGTTACAAAGGAGTATTCTTTCTATTCAGGAAAAGAGCGAAGAAAGTCTTTATGACTATTGGGAACAATTTAAAAAGCTTTGCGCATGTTGTCTGCAACATGGATTATATGAGAAAACGTTACTTCAATACTTTTATAAAAGTCTTTTACCAATGGAAATGGAAATGGTATATGCCGCCAGCGGAGGAGCATTAGTCAACATGACCCCAACAACAGCGAGAGAATTGATTTTAACCATGACATCAAACTCTCAATAGTTTTCAAGTAAACCCAACAGACGGGTTCACGAGATAAGTATCTTTTCCATTGAAAATAAATTAGATAAATTAACTGAAATAATTAATTCACTTGTTGCAGGAAATTATGGGGTAACAAGAGCATGTGGGATATGCACGAAGCTGTACCATTCGACGAACTGATGCCCGATGATACAATAAGGAGGCAATGCAGAAATCAATGTCGTAGAAAACTTTCCAGGTCCTCCACGGAGACCATACAACCCATATAGTAATAATTATTATAATCCAAGATGATGAGACCACCTAAATCTAAGCTATGTGTTAAATCAAAGGTCATCTTTTCAACCAAGACCTCCTCCACAACAACAAACACAAAAGATATCATTGGAGGAAATCATGGAAAATTAGTAATTTCCTAAGAAAAGCTTGTTACATCCCAGGAAAAATTCCAAAGTTGAACCGAAACACATCTTCAAGAATTGGATAAACATATGAGTAGACTGGCTCAAACTGTGAGGAAGTTGGAATCACAAGAAAGACTACATTCTCAAGCAGAGTTTAATCTGAGAGATAATGTTAGTTCTATCACACTCTAAAGTGGAACAATCATCTCACCCGAAGTTCCAAAATAATAAGCTGCATATAAAAAAAAGTAATAAGAAACGCCATCTCTATAAATACAAGGTACGTCTACAACACATCCTCCTCATTCTCCTCATGAAATCACGCCACCACCCTTCCTATCAAGGTTGATAAAGTATGATAAAAGAGCTGAAGAAAGGGAGATCTTAGAGGTGTTCCAAAAAGTTCAAGTTAACATACATCTTCTTGAAGTAATTCGACAAGTACCAATGTATGCTCGATTTTTAAAAGAACTATTCATTACAAAGATGAAATTAATGGGGCAGGAAAAGGTAAATTTGGGAGAACATGTTTCCACAATTTTTAACTAAAGCTCCCACCAAAGATGAAGGATCAAGGTATGTTTGTTATACCTTGCAAAATAGGTAATTTTAAAATTAAACGTGCAATGTATGACTTAGGG